TATAGCACAAGGCTGCTTTCAGCGCTCTAGGAAGTAACCCAGTTCTGCAGGATATGGCACCTGTCCTCTTGTCCTGCATGTCCTCTTGTCCTGCATTTCCCATACTAACCCATTCAGGTTTTTTTTTCTGTCTTAGCTGGACACTTTTTAAACATAACAGTTATTCTGGAATTTTCCCTTCTGGTGGAAAAAAATAGTGGAAACAAAAAACAAAAACAAACCCTGTACAGTAATGGAGCTTCATTGCCAAACTACCTTGTGTGGGACACTGCTGGCAGTCGTAGGAGAGAGAGCACAGTGATGTGTCCTTCCTCGTATTATGATTTTGAGGCCTTATAAAATAAAGAAGTCATGGGGACTTAATGTACAGCATGGTGACTGTAATTATCAATACTGTGTTGCATACATGAAAGTTGTTTAAGAGAGTAGATCTTAAACATTCTCATCACAAGAAAGAAAAAATTTGTAATTATATATGGTGACAGATGTTAACCAGACATGTGGTGATCATTTCACGGCATATACAAATATCAGATCCTTATGTTGTTAATATAATGTTATATGTGAATTCTATCTCAATCAAAAGATCTTGAGGCCTTAACTTTTATTAAAAATTTTAAAAATAGTAATTTCATTGTGTATATTATAAATATCTTATGAAATGAATACATGATGTTTTCTGTTTCTAGATATTTTAGGTGGAAACTGATTGTTTGACTTTATCTAAAGGAAAGAGTTGCCCCAAAGGGAGGGATTTGTGTAGCGTGGGAAAATTGCCCACATTGTTTTATTTCTTGAGGTGGGGAGTGGTTAAGTTGCCGTTCACTTTACCATAGCTTGTTAAACTTTTCATGTATGTGTGATACATTCTTTTTGGTGATCTCTTATAAATTTATAATGAAAAAAGAATGGGGAAAAAAGATTTCTCCAACCTCAAAATATCTCCTGGAACAGCCTACAATTTCATTGTTATCAGTTAATTATTTTAGTTAATATTTGGCTTCTCCTTTTCCTCTTTGAATTGGAACAATTATGTGGCCAATAATACATGAAGACATGAGCCCTTTAGAGTTTAGGGCTTGTCAGATCACCTCTTCTTTGTAGCCCAAGAATCTGAGCTAATGTAGATGGGATGGTTCTGGAGGGTGATATGATGAGGGGAGAAAAAGTTGGCAGTGGGTGTCAGCACCATGGAAAGCCAATAAACCTAAATAATGTATAACCTTTGTTACTCACATTTTCATATTTCAGTAACCAACACGTACCGTAGCTTTACTGAATTGCTTAGCTTTCTTCTCAAATGGTAGTATGAGAAAAATCTCTCTAATTTAACCTAATTAGGAAGATGATTAAAATACAGTATTAAAAGTGTAGTTATTTTAAATGCACATTAGTAACATAAGTATTGCCCAATTAGCCTTTTAAAGAACCCTACATCCATGAATAGAAAAGAGTAATTTTTAGTTTGCATATGAGTATTATATGAGTGGATACTTCAGAAGTGCTCCCAGTGAGTTATTGCTTGGAAGTAGCTTTTCCCCCTGAAGGTCTGTTTTCCTCGTAAGGCTTTTAAAACCCAGGGTTGTGCAGCTCACATAGTTACAGGGTAGGGGGATACGTATAAATGGATTTTTAGTTAGTAGTTCACTGTTTTCGATATAAAAGAGCCATGAATTAGATTGAATTACTGACAATAGCTTAACTCACTTATGCTGTGCATGTGAGAAGTATGACTGTTGCGTTAGTAAAATAGTGCTGACAGTCGAACAGCGTATTTTGAGGAAGCCTGGCTGTCCTGTGAGTGTCAGAGAGAGAGAGAGCATGTATGTGATTTCCCCCCTCCCCTGAAATTCTTTTGGAAAATCATCTTCCCCGTGTTTCATTTTAAAAAACTATGATTGCGATGTTGTGAATAACCAAATATTGGTTTCTTTAAGAAAATATATGTACACATATAGTTTGAAATTTTTCTATTTAAAAATATTCCTCAGTTGTTTGTCTGCCTGTTTATTAAG